TTTTCAGTTATATAATTTTACTTTTTTATTAAAAAATGCAGAGAAATGAGAGAATTGATAAGTGAAAGTTTGAGAAATATCTGAAGAATTACAGTTTACAGTGGAACCTCATTATAAAGAGCTATGATAAAACAAAGTATTATTGTTATTATTATTTTAGTTTTATTTCAACAGGGTGGTCTCATTTCAAGTCTATTTCTGGACCTGCTCTTCCAGAGAGCCCTGCATTCACATACAACTATGTACAATCAAAACATGAATTCAAAACATACATACAAATGTAAAAATAAACATTAGCAGAGCTGCCAACCTTGTGCGACCAAAAAAAGGAATCATGATGGCAAAAAAAAGGAATTTCAAGCCAAAAAAAAGGAATACATAAAAACGAAACTTACAACCACGCGGACACACTTCCAATGTAGAAATGTTCATTCATCATGCTGTTTTTTCCATACAAGCAAGTAATTTTTTTGGTGGTTATTTTGGTATTATCGGCATTTCATTTTTTTTAGAGAATATTTTTCTCTTCAAGTATGTTTTAAAATTAGTTTTTTATTGAATTTGTGATCAAATCACCATTTTAGGGCAGTTGTTGGACGCGCGGTATGTAAAAAAAAAATATTAAAAAAAAATAAAAAAAATTGTGTATTAAAAAACGTATTTTATGAAGAAAAAACGTAATACCGTAATTTGGAGGGAAAAACGGAGTAATTCCGGCAAAAACGGAATGGTTGGCAGCTCTGCATAAATATCTGTTATAAAAAGGTGATTTTACTGGTCCCAAGGCAGCTCTTTGTATTCTTTAGTTTTTGTACCCTGATATAACAATAATTAGGTAATTTCTGTCTCGTTATAACGAGGTTCCACTGTACAATTATGAGCAGAGAAAGTTGTCACAAATTACACAAAAATTGGCAGCTACACATGTATATGACTATGGTTTCCCTTGTGAATATCACTTAATTGGTTGTGTATCTATTTTTTATTATAAATTACCATGTTCTTGCATTTTTATGATTAAACAAAATCATGTGTTTAAAAAATGGGGTCAATAATCATTACATCTATTTTTAAAGTCAACTTGACAAGCTAACACACCATTTTGAAAATAAAGCTAATTTTTCTTTCACAAAACTTAAATGTGTTTCAAAGTGTCATATAACACACGTTCTGTAAAATGGTCAACTACATAATCAGTGACTACTTACATGTTTTTTCATTTGTTTCAACCGTGGGAAAAGACTGGGAAATGATTAAAAACTGTCACATTAGAAAAAAATGCAGAGACATTCAATTGTTCAATGATATAAGTCAATTTTATCACTAAGTTCTGATAACTCTCAAAGTTCAATTGATCACTAACAGGAAGTCTCTTATTTATCAGGAATTACTTGGATTGATATATTTATAAACATCTGCCCTGGGAGCGACTATCAGCATTAATCTTGAGATCTGCAATATGAAACTGCAAATAAAGAGAGGCAATAGTATCATTCAGAACTTAAAGCCCCACTGCACTACTTATAGCTACTTGCTTCCTCTATTTGCAAACAATGCCTAATCGATGCCTGTTGGTCCCCCATGATCCTCTTTTTCTTATGTTAATTGAGAGCTGAGTTGATGAGATAACCACCTGTCAGTTACCAACAGGGTGGTCTAATCCCTCCTGGCCAAACTAGTGCAGACGGGCTTTAAAGGCAGGCTGTTCTACTGACACTACTTCAGATTTTGTATACTGCCATCTGCTGCTCACAATGTCCTGATGTGTCAACAGCCATGTCCCATAATGCATCACCAACTGCATGATTTGCGCACGTAATGATGCTTGGGTAAAGGAACCAGAAATCGCTCTACATATGTATGTATAACTTCACTGAGAGATGGTGCATTAAGCAGTGGTAGCGATGTCCGTAAAATACCCTACCTTTAAAGGCCTCTAATATTGACCTCAGTATAATTTGAGCTGTAACGTACATTATATAACATACATGTACATTATATATGAAGTGGGGCCTTATTAAGTTTTTTTTTATTCCAAAAGTAGAAATTCAGACACAGAGGCAAAAATATGACAACATATGAACTGTTCTACCGATTGGACTTATAGAGGAAAAACATAAATCGCAGACAAATTCACAGATATGGCTGAAAAATGTGACAATTTTAAAAGGCAACAAAATATGCCATGCATACATTACCTTAGATTACAGAAATTAATGAACTATTCTTAAATCTCTTAAAATTGATATTTTCACTGGAACTAACTATATTGTCCACCAGGTCAACAGCAAAAATCTTGAGGACCAGGACCCCTTAGAGTCTGTAGAGGCCAGAAGTCAGAATGCAACGATACCCACATGCCGGTAACCAAGGAAATGTTTGTTCCCAGGGAAAAAAATTAAAATTTATTTTTCAGGGGCTACTTTTCAAGCTTGCCTGCATGAATGTAACATTCTAAAATCTGTTTTGCATTAAACTCTATGCAAATTTATGGGAGCTCTTTTCTGATTTTAGGGGGCTCTTTTGGGCAATCCGCCCCAAGCCCCCGTGTATTTTTTTCACTGTTTGTCCCATCAGATAGCAACACAGAGCCCACCCCCCCCCCCCCAAAAAAAACAGACAGAACTGACCTTAGATGGGCCTTTTTTTTCCTTCAAATTTGAATTTTGCTTGTGACAGTGTTTCATCCATCCCATTTGTTGTGTACAAAATGAGGGCTTCAACTTTCACTCGCGAAAAAGAGAGAAAACCACAGACTGAGTCTTTCGATCTGAAATTTGGCACATACTTTAATAACCTCAACTTGCCGTTTCAAGTTAATTTTAAGAGCAGGTTTTGAGTGCTTGCAAATCCCTGATAGGGGCTTTAAAGAGAAGGTTGAGTTCTGAGAAGAGGTGAAAAATGATTTGTGAGCATTATCATTGTATTATGCAAGTGTGGAAGAACATCGGATAAAAATGTTCCCTGAAAATCATAGCTCTTTATGCCTTAATATTCTAAATATGGCATGTAGCATCATAAAAATCGAGACAGATTTTTATGCCACATCTTTGTGTAGTCCCCTATACATCTTTCTGTGTATAGTGCTTGTACTTTACCATGACTGGGCCAAATCTTATCATTTTGATGATTCTGGAACCTTGCAGTACGCACCAATACTTATGTGCTAGATGATCAACCTTTTCTGATCGATTCCACAACGATTCTTTCACAACGCAATCGCATGACCAGAACTCAACTTTATCTTTAAGGTAGCCTTTAACCATGTTCATGACCACTCAATCAACACCATCAGTCATCAAAGGCTTGACCTTTGAAAACCACACTACGAGTCATACTAAACTTTGAGAATTTAGAATACATGCAGAACTCTACTTCCTCATATCATTCTTAGCTTGTCTCCTGCTGCCATTAAGTTCATGAAGTTCCACAAAGCAGATAACTTTAACTATCCAAATGTTTATGATTACTTCTACTTGTATTTGTAAATCACTTTTATTTCAATTTCTATATAAACATTCATTTGTAAAATTCATATCAGTGAAAAAGAAATTTATAAATGGACAAGAAATACTTAATATCAATATTATTCCTTCAAACTTTACTTATGATTTGGGTAATGTTTTACCTGTAGCCTAATATGAACCATGCTAACAAAAATCAAGAAATACAACAAATTTTCTTTAAATTTAAAGATAAAGTTGAGTTCTGGTCGTGCGATTGCATTGTGAAAGAACTGTGTGAAATCGATCAGAAAAGGTTGATCATCTAGCATATAATTATTGGTGTGTATTGCAAGGTTCTGGAATTATCAAAATGATGAGAAATCTGGCCAAGTCTTGGTAAAGTTGCAAGGACTGTACACAGAAGGATGTATATGGGACTACACGAACACGTGGCGTAAAAATCCGTCCCGATTTTTACGATGTTACATGCCATACTTAAAATATGAAGGCATTTGAAGAGCCATGCTTTTCAGGGAACATGTTTTATCTGATATTCTTCCACCCTTGCATAATAACAATGATAAAGCTCACAAATTATTTTTCACCTCTTCCCAGAACTCAACCTTCTCTTTAAATAAACTAAATGATGCAACAGGATGAATTTTTTCCAAAATATTTTCAACAATAAGTTTATTTAAGATCACAATGCTTGATTCAATCAGCTTCATTTTCATTTAAAAATATCAATGATTAAAGGTAAATACCAGTTTTAGAAACGCCCCCTCTCAAAAAAATGAAATGGAAGCTCTTATTATCCATCATGTGAAAGAATATGTTTTGACTAATACGTAATCATACAAATTTTGCTCAGTGAGAAACCGCCTACTAATTGATATATTTGGTAAATGATTATATCTATTTGGACCTGATAGATATAACGCACGTGTCACGCACAACGTTTCTTTCACAATGCAATCGCATGACCATAACTGGTCTGTATCTTTAAGTCTAATCTCCATTTGCTTGTCCGGTATTTGTAAATAAGTTCACATTTTGCTTGGCCAAAAGTTCATATGATACATAACAGATTACATATTTAATGACAAATAAATTCATATTGAATTTTAGATTGTGTGTCTTGAGATGCAGTATTTTATTACCAGATCTCAAAATGCCTAAAATAATATTAAATAAATATTGCTTTGAACATTAAAACACATACATTTTTATTCTTACTTCTCATTCTCTAATTGTAATTGAAACAATTTATTCCAGTACTCTCTATCGCTTTCTCCTTATTATATCCTAACCACCTCCCATCCCCCCCCCCCCCCTATTTCTTCTCTCCCCGCTAAAAATGTGCAAGGTGTAATACTTTTTTATATATCTATTTTTTTTCTTCTCAGACAAGCCGCTGCTCCTTCTCTAACTCTCTCTCTCTCTCTCTCTTGGGCATCTTTTTCTCACTCATTCTCTCTCTCTCTCTCTCATTCTCTGTCTCTCTCTGACACACTCACTCGCTCACTCTCTCTCTCTCTCTCTCTCTCTCTCTCTCTCTCTGTACATTAATATAATACACGTCTTGTAATAAACCTCCATTTCCGATCGATGCTATGACGTGTCCTCCACCTCGTGCTCTTCGAGAGGGTGCTCGGCGTTGCTCTTGAGGCGGGGCGTCTTCCATTTGGCGGAGGGGCTGCTGAATCCCATCTTGCCCTTGTTGAAGGAGTTGGGTCCTGCCGACGTGGGCGTGTCCCTGAGATTGAAACAGAAAGATTTGAACCCTTTAAAGTCTGTCTGTACTAGTTTGGCCAGGGGGATTAGACCTCCCTGCAAGGTCACTGACAGGTGCTTATCTCATCAAATCAGCTCTCAATTAAAGGAAATACAAAGTTTTGGGAATTTTTGAAAATTGGATGGTGGTGATTCTGTTCAATTTTGATATATTTGGATGCCCCTGTGAATGTAATATAAGCACTAGAAAATTTAGCCCCTAAAACACTTCTGCTTTCGAGAAAAATTGAATGTAAAAATTTACCGGTGCTCCCGGTAAATGTTGATAAATTTCAAATAGCGCCGTACGGCCGTACAATGGTAGCTGCGACCATGAACATTTCAGAATATGTAGATGTGATATATAACTTCCAAACGGGAATAGCTAATCGGTCGATTTTAGTCAAGAAACATTGTTTTATAGCTCAATTAATATATTGACCTTGAGAGGGTGCTATACAACATAAAGAGTTTATTATTCATAATTTCATAACTTTAGAATCGATTTCAACCGCGACAACGATCACTGAATATTGTAGGGTCGCATATGCTTCCAATATGTTCATTTGAACCAAATTCATGAATCCTTACCGAAACTTTGTAATACCTTTAACATAAGAAAAAGAGGATCATGGGGGACCAATGGTCACCGATTAGGAATTGTTTTCTAAATAGAGGGAGCAAGTAGCTACAAGTAGGACAGTGTGGCTTTAAAGTAGTCAGCCAAAGAAAATTCACGATCCGGTAACTGATAATTATGGACAAAGTAAATATTGATGGAAAGATTTTCTCCTGAAAAACATGAATAATTTGCTGAAAAATCATATAGACATCATGGAAAGGCGTAAAATGTAATTTTGTGGCTAGCTGTGTCTCGCATGTGACATCACGAATCTTGACGCTCTACGGAGGACCGCTGAAGGCAGAAAATCTCGATCTCAAAATTAATATTTTTTAGAGTAGATTACTGCGGGCCCCAAACATATTTTAAAGAGGGAAGTTGTTGTATTTGATCGGTAAGACTTCCCCTTTGCAATGATATGAATTTTGCATCAATTCAAAACACTCTTGATTCTTTGGGTGATTACTTTAAATATTGAGTTACAATGAAACCTGCTGAACAACTTGTCTCATATTAGGACCACATTTTGATGTTCCCCTCGACGAGCATGTCTCAGAGAAACCTGTTCTGAACTCTTTATATGCCACACAAATGATCTCCCTGTACCACGCTGTATTTATCATGAGATAGATATACCAAAGGCTTCAAGTTTAGTTAACTGTTCCCCTGAGTTCTCTGGCATCTTTGTCTCTGACCTGTCCAATCATTTTCCAATATTTTTCTGTTATACCAAGCCTTACCCAATCATCTTCAATCAACTATCAGACAACAGAACCAATTTAGAGTGTTATCGGAGGAAAACCTTAATAGACTCAGAGAAAGTCTATCTGTGAAATTTAAACATTAGCAGTGTCCTACTATTCAAATCATGCAAGGAAACCTGTTTACTTTCTAGACTTCACTGTCAGACTCTATTGAGTGACTGACTGACTTCTTTTATTCTTTGCCAATTACTTACATGAAATGAGCTGTAAAGGGCACATGAGCATTTGTCTACATCAACAACCCACTTATTGTAATGGCCAAAATTAAGCTAATTGAATCTTTGCGCAGCACAAAACGTACGACCATACAGTAAACGGGTCTGAAAATCAGACTGTTTTCTATGCATAATTGTCTAAACGCGTTGCAAAAATTCCTAACGGTCGATATAATCCAACATAATGGCAATGACCCGTTTTAATCTTTTCAGGGGAGTTTTGAGTTGGTATTATCTCTTGTTTACCATAGGAGTCACATCAGTTTATTTTTTCAGCCTGCAAAAGGGACAAACTACCTTTAAAGTCTAGTTTGCAATCTTATCAGCATTGAACCAGGATGTATACCACACAGACCTATAAATCGTTATGCACACTGATTGTTCTTTTGTTGCATCCAATCCCATTGTCTAGCTTCTATTGAAGTCCTCAAAACATTCTTTCTTTTGCCCTTGTCACTCTAACCCTTTCAGAACACGTACCAATAGGCCATTTTCATAATGTAATCAAATTTAATGCACAAACCTTTGTTAAGTGCCTCAATTGTTACAAATGATTTCATTCGCCTGTTATGAATAGTTGTATTTCAAAAGTCAGAATGCGAATTGCATACACTTCATGTGGTTTAGTAGGACAAGCCTTTTTGTTTGTCCTACCTAGCAACAATTAATGTTTGCAATTCGCGTATTCCGAGTATTGAAAAACAATTATACGTAACAGGTGAATGAATTATTTACAGTATCCATATTATTTTATCCAAAACTCTTTTGACCGAGAAAGTTTGTCTATCTTTCTGAAGTTAATTAGAAGTTGATGATTTGTAAACTTGAATATTACTAGACAATGATGATATAAAAGCAAACCAAAAACAAAGCTTTCGTCATCCTACAAGGTCCCCATTTCTATCCTGGGTATGGAAGGGCAAATCTAGATTAATGCCTTGCCAAAGGACATTAGTGCCATGTCAGGGATCGAACCCATAACCTTTGAACTTCAAGTCAAGTGCTTAAACCACTCGACCACGGCCCCCATTTCACAAAACTTGTCATCAGTGACAAATGACAGTTTTTTTGTTATAAGCTAGAGAAATCCATGCTTGTGATTGGTTATCAGCAGATTTGTTACTGATATTTGTCATTTGTCATTGAAAAAAGGTTTTGTGAAATGGGTCCCAGGACACCTCTCCATGAAAGATGTCCATGGATACATACCGTCCCATGTTCTTCATCCTCATCTTAGCTTCAGGAGGCATGTCCTCTTCATCTTCCTACAATCAAAAAGAAAACAACAACAAAATTGAAATAAAGACAGTATGTAAGCAATACAATGATTACACCCTTTAAGCTAATACTACACCTTACCCTAACCCTAGCCTTAAACCTAATAACTGAATCCAATCATAAACCTAACCCTATGTATTACACAAAATGAAGCCTGGAAAAATGAAAGTGACCCGGGCAAGAGGAAGCATGAAGGACATCCCAGAAAAATTACAGCCCATAAGATCAAAGACCCCCGAGACCGGCACTGTTCATCTCAAAGTTGCCAGCGGTGTTGGTCTTTCGGGCTGTTGGTCTTCGGACTGTTGGTCTTTCGGGCTGTTGGTCTTATGGACCGTCTAAGTTATAAAGCGCTTAATGAGGAATACCGTCTCTAAGCGCTTTACAGATATTATTACCCCGGTCATTGGATTCATTCACACACAATGTGAACCATTCCACTCCCTGGGGAGTATCCAAACAATATGGTCACCGTGAGGGCATAGGCAATTTTTTAACACAAATGCTTTCGTCATCCTACCGGGTCCCCATTTCTCTCTTGGGTAATGAGTGGCAAATGTAGATTAATGCCTTGCCAAAGGATATTATGTGGCCAGAAAGATACAATGTTGGTCTCTTTGGCTGTTGCCCTTGTGGGCCGTAGCCAATTTAAAGCACATTTGTAAGGACTACCTAACCCATTGCCTACAGGTACCTGGTGGTCCCTGTATAAAGCCTATTGGAATCCGAGAATTCAGTAGTGAACATGTTAATGTTCAAAGCCAGAAGGAAGATAGCTATGTGTTAGAGCCCTACTGCACTACTAGCAGCTACTTGCTCCCTCTATATAGAAAACAATGCCTAATCGGTGCCTGCCCGTTGGTCCCCCATGATCCTCTTTCTCTTATGTTAATTGAGAGCTGAGTTGATGAGATAACCACCTGTCAGTTACCAACAGGGTGGTCTAATCCCTCCTGGCCAAACTAGTGCAGACGGGCTTTAAATTATACAAGTTTCCTCCCTTCTGCCTCTCAGCAGACAAATTATAGTTGATTACCAGTCCACATTCTACTCACATCACTTTCATCTGCAAAGGCTTTGGCTGCTGTTCCGCTTGGTTTCAAGATCTTCTTCTCTGGCTCCTTTGGTTTCTGGGTACAGAAAAGAAGAGGGCGATACAGAGAGAGAGAGAGAGAGAGAGAGAGAGAGAAAGAGAGAGAGAGGGAGGGAGAAACAGAGAGAGACAGATAGAGAGGAACAAACAGAGAGAGAGAGAGAAAGAGGGGGAGAGAACGAGAGAGAGATAGTCATGAAACAGACAATCGGTCAAAGGAGAGAGGGTGTAAGTTTATTCAAATTAATGAAAAATGCGATCTTTGGGAAAGTCTTTCAAACCATGCATTTTTCAGACTTCCATTATTTTGTTGAAGGCCTTTTAGCTTCAGTTATATGTACATTTTGTTAGGACACAGTATATCCAATTTGAATACCATTTTATTATTATCACACCTCCTATAAAAGGTATGATTGCAATTTCAAAATAAAATGTTACCTATCAAAAATCTTCAAAGCATTTTGCAGGCAAGGTGACACAAAATAGGAACTTTATCTGATTGAGTTCCTGTCTATCAGCTATCAATGTGCTCAAAATAGACGGCTGGTAAAGTTACTATTCAATGAATCCTTTTTTTTTCTTCACATTTTCTTTATTTCACAGAGGTCTCCATTATAGAATGGAGGGGAAAAAATCATATACTGGTATAATTTCATGGTAGATTTTATACAGTGACTAGTTAACGAGTAGGCCTACTTTTCAAGTTATAAATATTTCTTGAATGTAACTAACATTATTTCTTCTCCCTTAGCCCTCCTCTAATATCTCCATTTTTTTTCTTTTCACTACCGGTAGTTTAAAAGTTTTTTGTTGTTGTGTGAATTACTATCTGGTACAAAATCAACTTACCGATGCTCCAAGTTTGATGGAAACGGGAGCTATTCTAATCTTTGGCTTGATCAATGGCTTCGCGTTGAAGGTCTTGTTTTCTGTTGCAACTGCTGGAGACTTCTTGAGTCCGATGTTAAACGAGAGCTTGGACTTCTTTGTTCCGTCTGTTTCCTGCTCGTCTGACGGCTTCCGCTTCAAGATGGCTTCCTTGTCGCTCATGGTGCAAGCTGGAGTTGTTCTACAAAGTTGACGAGCAGATATTGGCTGTAGTGACGGGTGGGGCAACTGGAGGCAGAGGGGTAGGTACAGGGGCGTGGCTCTGAGGGCAGTTCAACCAGTTTTCTAGAGTAGGAAGAAGGACTGGAACTCATGAATGACTTACGTTTTGATGGAAGTTAAAACAAAATCGTCTCTCGACTCACCAACCTATATACCCTGAGGCGTGTATAGAGTGGTTGTTTCATCATCACGGTGTCTAGTCTCGTCTCTATGTAGGAACATTTCTTTTCTTCTTCTCCTCCGAGTAGCCATGGCGATTGTTTTCATGGTGATGATGCTATCAAACTCACGTTTGATGGCCATGTTTAAAGCTATGAATAAGGGAAGGAAAAAGAAGGGTGAGACATAGGTGGAACCTTGGAAAGAAAATGAAAATCACAAGAGTGAGAAATATAAGCGACGGACTCTGCTTAAATATAATTTTGCGTCAATTTTTCTTGCAGCATACAGCAAGCCCATAAAGAAAAGGAAAAAATGCAACAACAAAAAGCATTTCTAATAAATCACAGAGAAGATTTAAGTACACTGTACTGTTGGTGTCATAATAGATAGTGTGTCTACCATTTTTGGAGACATTTTAGCAGTGGCTTTTCTAGTTGCACCCATTTGTAGTTTATGGTAGTTTACGTTCATATAGTATCAATTGATCTGAAACAAAATTTGTCCAGAACATGCGAAATCATGGATCAAATGTCACTGTGAAATATTGTCTCAGTCCTATTTTTTTTGTTTAAGTCCACAAAAATTGGACATCCAATCATATTCATGACGGTTTTGTGAAATGATGCCCAAGTTTAGAAACCAAGTTTGCTTAAGTTAACCATTCCTCAGTTTTAGATTTTTAAAGTGAACATATGGTGAACCTGTGACAGCAGAGAGGACAAAGACGAAATTGTATGCAGGCTCAGCTCAACCCAACCAGGGAGATATGATACATCTCCCTGACCCAACTTAATCAGGCTCATCAGCAATGGAAAGCATGGCAGACGATCAGAACCTCAACCAAGAAACTTGTACGGCGATAAAGTTTGACAGAGTCAGAGTCATCATTTAACAGGTAACAACTACTGTAACATTACCCATCATGCCCCGCACCATACAATGCCATATTACCAATCTTCTAGTTATCTTTGATGATTTACCAATTGTACATCTAGACTTTAACATTAAACTTATCTTTAGTAAACGTTTTCGACCATTTACATTTTTAGACTCTACCACACAAAGTTATTGGTATTTTTAAGACGGGTCTAGATAAACACTGGCTTGCTAAACAATTTTATGTAACCTGACATCCACTCATTCTGCACTACCTTTTAAGTCGCAAACTGACAATTGAACTTATATCTTGGAAGACGACCGAGAGATCTACAGGACTATCTCACTCTGCTCCCATATATCGATGATGATGATGATGAGACCAATTTTGAATTTGGCACAACTTGTGAGTTGTGTTTCTGCATGATTTTTGCCGGGATTCTTGATTGCCGTTTCTTTTAAAAATTAAAATCTTGTTTATTTGTTTAAAAATTTTAGAATGGACACCAAAGTTTATCCAGACCTGAGATAGATCTACTTTTATAAATAAACAAAAAGCTGAAATCATCCCCCTGACCCAGTTTGATTCACATTTTCAACACACCATCATCACGAGTTACAGAGTGACATGGAATCATACGAGTGGGACTTCATATTTGTGTAATGCACTAAAAGTAATGGTGGCAGCTGGCCGATTTGGAGCGCAGTTGCAGGTGCTAGCTTCGATAAAAATCTGGCAACTATGTTTCTAACATCAACATGAAATAATGATAATGTAACTGATTTTTATTTCGAATACATTGCACAAAAACTTAAATATTTACCTCAGTTTCGCATCTGTTTCTCAGTTCTGAAAATCTCACAATTTTTTTGTAAGGAAATGACACTGGAATTTGTTATCACCCGATATATTTGTTGATCGGGGGAGTGGGGCGGTCTTTTGAAAAATATGAATTCAGGAATCTACAGAAGGAATATAATACTCCTCTTCATGAGATCACAAATATTTTACCAATATTTATCTGACATAAGTCTGCTAAAAACGTGTACTCTCTCCTGATCCTCCATCTCCTCCAGTCTAAACACTCTCAATTACTCTCAACATCCCCCTTTCATTTTTATAACAAATTCTCTCTCTCTCTCTCTCTCTCTCTCTTCTCCCTATTATGTTTGTTTATCTTGGAACATAACCTTCTGTTATCATGGGGATTTCTACCTCATGTAGAACAGGTTGACAAAATGTCATTAAAGAATTAAACATAGCAGTTGTTGCTGCACCTATCTATATTTTTCCTCTTTACTGTTCATGCTAGTCTTTGCCTCTATCTGTCTCTCCCCTCTCTCTCTCTCTCTCTCTCTCTCTATACATATATATATCTCTCTTTCTCTCCCCTCCCTACCCCCCCCCCTCCCTTTCTCTCTCTCTCTGCATGTATTTTTTCTTCTTTTTTCTCTTTCTCTCTTGAGCTGCTCGGCAAACATTCTTTCTCTTATAGTCTAAAGCAGGGCTCCCACTTAGCCGAGTTGGAGCCTCGAGTTGTGGCAAGCTGCCGCGATCTTATGGCAAGCAGTTTTATCATTAAAACGTATGTCTTGATATCAAGAATTCAATTCTTGATATCACGAAATCGAATTCCTGATATCACTAAATCGAATTCTTGATATCAAGAATTACCATTGCTTTAGAACATAAAATTATTTCTTGATAACAAGAATTGATTTATTGATATCACATATTGTAATAATAAACGGCTTGCCATAAGATCGCGCCAGCTCGCCACAACTCGAGGTTCCAACTCGGCTAAGTGGGAGCCCTGCTTAAGGCATTTCCCTGTCTGGGCTCATGATGACTCAAATTTTACTTGCACAAATTGCTAAAAATTAAGGCTGGGAGGGGGGGGGGGGGGGGGAGGGGGACTATCAAAGGATCACTTATTTGCTCATGTTCTTGGTCACCTAAATAGTAGAAAATTGTAACAAAGAGATATTTAGCTCTAGCAAACCATGAAAGAGCTCTCAATAATGAAAAAGACAGCTCTGGTAAAAGTCAATTTGAGGGATAAAGTTCAGTAATTGACTGCAAGAAAATCTTATTTTTAACATAACTATAAACCCCAAATATCAAATATGGAGTTAAAGCCCTTCTGGTTTTCAGCAGATGACGTACAGAACAGATTATTTTGTCAACATACTCTCCCAAATACAGTACTATAAGTCAAAAAGTTAAACTTAGAAACCACATTACAGTCTATAAACTATTCCAGATATGATAAATTTTTCTTTATTGCATAAATTCACATGATTCAGACAATAACAACTGCATACATCATTGATCCACTCAACTAATACATGAACAAGGTTATTGGAAATAACCTTGTACTGGATCTTGCTCAGATTCATGTGTAGAACTAGCTTATATAGGTTTTGCTCGTATCAACCCCGATCTGTCCGGGATAGTTGAAACATGTGAGGAAAATAATTATTTAAAATTTAATTTTCAATTTTCTAGTTTAAATAGCAAATTATAAAGATAATGGAAACATGCTTCTACTGATTTTGGTGTGTATTTTGACCTAGTACAGCAGTGAATTTGCCACACAGTTTTGGTCCGAGTGACTCTTATACAAAAGTTTTGATTGATCTACTCTGCCGGAAAATGTGCTTTTCCCAGACAAGATTTCTCAAAGATAATTTTGAGCTTGCATATTGATGGTAAGTAATTCTCACATAATCGAGCAAAACTTAACCGATTGTAAACAAAAACTTTAAAAAAACTTGTCTTCCAAACACTGAAGTCAAGATGCCTTCATCATTTAATGTTGGCATCTTCCAGAATTTGTAAGACATTGGCCTCAATTTTCTTGGGGCCTTTGATAAAGAGCCTGTACACAGACTGTGTCCTTCAGGCCCTATTTGGACACTCAATCAAAGATGACGTCATTGTCTAATGTTAGCCTCTACCAGTTCTTGAAGACACTGATCTTCTGCTCTTGGGATTTTGTCAAAGAGTTCAAAGAGTTCAGACACTCAATTCAAGATGCTGTCAAACTTCACTGTTATAGCATCTTCCAGATCTTGAAGACATTGACCTTCAAGATTGACCTTCAAGATCCTTAGATTTCCTGACAACAAGGTTATACTTCTCATCACAAGTTTCTTCACAGACGGCGTCTTTCGACCAATGTTCAACGCTCAATTTAGGACTCGATCATAGTTTAATGTTTGCATCCTCCAATTCCTGTAACACATTGACCTTCAGTTTCTTGGCACTCTTGACCACCGGATTGTACCGCTCGTCATGGGGTCCTTCACAGACCGTGTCCTCCGGCCACTGTTCGGACACCCTGTTCAGGAGGCTTGGACGGATGATGTCAATGTCGCGACGGAAGTACTCCCTGAGAGGTTCGACGATGGTCGGCGGGCCATCAAAGTCAATCACAAAGTATCTGATGGAGGTGGGGAGGGATGGTTAGAGAGAGAGAAAGATGATGGTTGGGGGCAAGAAGAGATTATTAAACAGAATATAATTTTGCTGTATCCAGAAGCTCCATGTACACAATGTAGATCTTCCTTCATAACCAAGTCTTGGCTTTTTGATGGTTCAACTCAAAATGTAATTCTAATTACATTTTGATGTTTCAACTCAACAAATGTGTCATGTGTGAATTTTATACATCTATTACAAGACTTTTCTTATCACTTTAATTTAACCATATAAGCCTTTTGCATGCAATACATGTACATGTACATGCATATCCATGCAAGAAGTTAATGACAGTTCAGCCACTGTTTCAGCCACTGAGATGTTATCAATACAAACTTTTCTTATGTCCATGGCTCTGCCTTTGCTCTACACTACAGTAAATATTACTTTGATAAATCATTATAGTCTGTCTGGGTCTTTATGCTCTTAAAATATTCTGGATCACTTGTTTGTCCCAAGCTGAATACTAAGTGGTGTAGAAAACCTTTGCTCATGTACTTACATGTATAGGGCGTTTGCTGTGAAATGCTCTCCCTCGAAAGATTCATAATAGCAGATCAGTTAAGTGTAAAATAATCATAAAATGTATCTGACTATCTATTTGCTTCCGCATACTAATTTCATTCGATTTCATTTTTATATATCTATCTCACCCCTGTTGTTCTTGTGTGTGTAGTACAGATGCTTTTATGTGATTTCATCTTTTGCAAAAGTGCAGAAATTGCAGAATGATCATTTGATTTAAAGTGGATTTGATGCCTAACAAATCTTACATTGTTTTATTATTTGATTACAGGATCTACTTACTGTCCATGGCTGAAATTCTGCCGATGAGCTGTGAAACGGTAAGGTAGCTGCTTTTCACCCAGGTTTTCTATCTTCCTCACAATGCCTCCATTTTCCATCACTTCTGTGAGGGATCGCTTCAATGCATCCACCATTTCGGGCTGAAGAACAAAAAAAAAGGGAAATATCAAAGATTACATTCAATAGCGGCCCCAAGCCTTCAGGAATGACCCCCATATTTCCCACTCCAGCAAAGCATAGAGAGTCAATGCTAAAGCGTATTGACCTCTAGCACTGCATACATGCTGTGAGGCAGGGACCTAGAAGTCTATACACAAATACACACACCACACAATATCGCATAGACTGTACACAATCATGTCGATGCAGCTGTAAGCAAAGTTTGACACTAGACTTACAATTTTAATTTTTAAATTATTCTTTTTAACATCAGTAAGTTAAAATAAATGTATTTTACTGCTATTTAGGTGTCATCAATTGTCACTAAAGTACCGATTTTGAGTGAAATCAGTTGAGTTTTGTACAGTGGTGTTTGAAATGTTGAGAATCAAAAGCACAGCTTTTACTACACAGCCAGGATAGTGATGCTCCTATGTGTGATATTTCCTGATTACCATTCTGCCACTCTTTGGAGGGTACCGTCGGCTGCGGCCTTTTCAAAAGTGTTTTTACACTCCGGCTTAACATGAACAAGCATGCTTAGTATTTTTTTAATAAGCTGAATTCTGAAAATTATAAAACGGCCGCAATTTCACATGCCCATGTACCCATCCCCCCCCCCCCCCCTCACAGTTTTTCCCTTATTCGTTGTTACTGTCACTTAGTGCAATTCCTTTCCTTTTCTAACCCGGCTTCTCTCCTTTTTTTCCCCCTCTCTCTCTTTCTTTTCTCTCCTTTTTTCTGTTCTTTTGTTTCTCTTCTCCCTTTCTTTCTTTTCTCCTTTCTTTTTTCTCTTCTTTTCTTCCTCTTTTTTTTGCGCCGCCACTAGCACTAGGGGGGACACGGCCGTTTCGGCCCCCCTCCTGGATCTGCCGTTGTGTCATGATCATGGAGTTGGTTTCATGAGCTGGCTGGCCCTGGTTAGTCCCTTTGCCTGGCTCTTTCTCTTGCAGCATGCATGCAGCGAACTTGGGATGTCGCTCCCGACCCCCTCCCCACACGCCCGCGGGGGAGAAGCGCAGTCTGCACCCGCTGCACCACCAGCACGAATGAATCCAAATATCTACGAGAATTAATGAAATGTTACAAATCATAATTCTACATCAAATATATGCCTCCTTTTGCCTTTTACTCAACTTACCCTCCTCATGACCCTCATTATCAATGCTGCCTCGTATCCCGGCATTTTGCAGATGAAATCGAAGTTAATTTAGCTCGTGATCGTTTCTCTCACTGCATGCACTCAAATAAGCTCTACAAGTATGGAACGCTTATCGTAGACCCTAGGCCTAGTCAAAATAAGGAAAATTGTAGTTTCACATTAGAATAAAGGGGTTCGTTCCTAACTACATTTGATAATTCTCTAATTCAATAGATACATAAAAATCTATTTGAATTTCATGTATTTAGATAAGCGCAAAACAGCTAGTATTGATTGATTCTTTTTATTTAATT